AGAAGAAGAAGAAGAAGAAGAAATTCTTGCCATTTGCAACAGCATATATGGAACTGGAGAGCATTATGCTATGGATAAATATCACATGATCTCACTCATTTGTGGAATATAATGAACAATATAACCTGATGAACAAAAACAGATCCAGGGACAGATAAGCATCTATAAGACCGTCAAACCTCAGAGGGAAGGTAGGGAAGGGTGGAGGTAAATGGGAGAGATCAACCAAAAGACTTTCAATGGGCACAGACAACAGGGGAGTGAGGGCATAAAGGAGGGAGGGAGGGGCAATGGGGCAATAAGGACACATATGTAATACCTTAATAAATAAGGGAAAAAAGGAATACTAATTTTAGTGACTATTTAAAAGAACATTTCAGTGAATACTTCAGTATTGGTTTCTAAAGCCAAACATTTTCAACTTCTAGAATCTTGCCACAAGTATTAAATTCACATCAATAGATTTATATATAATTAGTACTTTAATTTAGTAATAAATTGATAGAGTGCTTTATTTTTTGGGAATCCTCTAGAATGAGGGTCAACAAACTTTCCTGTAAATGACTAAATAGTGAAGATTTTAGGCTTTGTGGGACAATGGGCAAAGTTGAGGATATTATGTAGGCACTTCTATAGCAAGAGAGAAAGCAAGTAGCTACAACTTTTTGTTGTACCAATGGGCACAGTTGACTTTATTTGTGGACACTAAAATATGAATTTCATATAATTTTAATGCATTATGAAATATTTTTTATCCTTTACTTTTTCAACCATTTAAAAATGTAGGAATCATTGTTACCAAGTTGGCCATATAAAAACAGGGCAGACAGATCCTTGAACTTCCCTAGAATGCATGCAGCTTTGATCTGACTCTCAGAGAAATCTAAGACTAAAAAGATTAGGGGGCATTGTTCTAGAGACAATTCACTAACTTTTAGGAGACATTTCCTAAGGTCCTAAGAGTTTCTAGGAAATCTGTGGGAATTCCTACTCTAGGAACTAATCCTGCTAGAGACAGTGAGGGTAAATTGTCTGGGTGATCTTTTATTAATAGTCAATTGTCTTCACCATTCTTGTTGGTTTTATAAAACTCAGAGAAAATTGAAACTCTAACCCTGGTTTTAAGAGGAAAAGTCTTCTCATATTTTCAAATATTTAGTAAATAATTTAGGTTCAAATGAATATCTGAAACATATTTAAGAGTCTAGACCATTTCAGGCTATAAATAGAAATCACATTCAACCTATTGTTACGCCCAGACTTCGTGATCCCCAAGGACCACCAGGGAGCCGAGTCCAATGCAATAAACAAAAGAGCCTTTTCCATGCTAGCATGGGCTCTGTCCCACTCACGCCGGCAGCATGGCGGAAGAGAGCGAATTTCATCCAGTCCAGGGTGGTGGTGATGTCACTGCCTCGGCTAACTCTGATTGGTTGGGTGAGGGCTAGGGTTCCATTACAGAATGGAGGATAACTCCGCCCTGCCCTCTCACTATTAAGAACTTTTTTCTCTTTATAATATATTTTATTGATTTTTTACAGAGAGGGATAGAGAGTTAGAAACATCCATGAGAGAGAATCATCGATCAGCTGCTTCCTACACCCCCCCCCCCCCCGCACTGGGGATGTGCCTGCAACCAAGGTACTACATGCCCTTGACCAGAATCAAAACCTGGGACTTTTCAGTCTGCAGGCCGATGCTCTATCCGCTGAGCCAAACCGGTTTCGGCAAGAACTTTTTTCTTTAAAACAAAGATTACCCCTTGGAACAGTTTATTTTATTTCAACTGACATTTAAGGCTACAATACAGGTATAAGCAGGATTAAATTTACTTATTAAAGTTGAATGTGCAAGATTGTAGGCTTCTTGGCTTAATGGAGGGTGGGAGTGGAGGGGATGCTGTTGCCCAAATCTGAACCCTTGAATGTTCAAATTCATGAAATGGAGTAGTTACCTTGGGGCAGAGATAATAGTGAGAAAATAGAAATGTCAATTTAAAAATAAATAAAAACCTCAGGAGTTTCTGGAGTTAGAATAATTGCTTCTTCTAATAACAGTTATTATTGAATGAAGTTTGTACTCAAGGAGAAAATTATTATAAAACATAATACTCATTTTAAAACCTGAAGACGGAACAGTGTAGTATATGGTGAAAGCCTATTTTTAGCAAGCCCTTTACAGCACTTTTTAGGTAAACCTTTAATTAATTTACAGCTTGTTTTCACAGTTTTTGAACTGTGGAGAATGTAACAAATTTAAGAAGAAGGCAGAAGTTAACCTAAAAAAATTCCCCCCTAAAAAAAAAAGGAAAAGAAAAGTTCGTGGAACTTCAGTGCTACTTTAAATAGGATGCATTGCTTATATGTACATTAGGCTTAATTTTTATTAATTGATCAGTATTTATTAGTCTTCAATGGTATTTTTAAACTGGAAAACCCACTCACAGGTAGATCTTTTTTTTTAATTCAATAGTTTTTAAAATGTAATAATGGTTCTCAGTTCTGTAAAAGGCAAAAGCAAAAAGTATCTAGGAGAATGGGATAGTGACTTTAGTTAGAAATTTATTATGAAAGAGAAAATAAGTACAACAAAGCATACTATCGTGTGGTTTAAATATGAAGATTTTATAATGAGAGATTCTTGCTGATTTTGAGAAAATCATACATTATCAAATTGATAAAGTCTGTATTTTTATATAAATATGCCTGGGTGGCTCTCTCCAAGACATTTTTACTCATTATAAAAGATAATATTTCATCTGCTAATTACTGGACCTTCATGTCTTATTCAATAATAAGTATGACATGTCTGTATAGCTTCTTACATCATAGAACCTAGTTACTCTGGGTAAGCCCTTGGCTGACTGTACACAAACCTTTTTTAAATTTCTTTATTGATTAAGGTGTTAAATATGTATTCTTATCTACCCATTATCCCCCCATCCCCCACTTCTTCCCTCATCTCCCTGGTGTCTGTGTCCATTGATTAGGCTTATATGCATGCATACAAGTCCTTTGGTTGACTCCTCCCCCTAACCCACACCCTCCCCTACCTTGCCTCTGAGGCTTGATGATCTGATAAACCTTAAAAGCACCTTTCAGACTGTTCCATCATCTTTCCTTGAACCTGGTATTGCCTCTTTCCTCTTAAATCTCTTGTTCCCAATGCCTTCTCTACTCACCCAAGTGAGTCTTACCAGTTTGCAAGGGGAAGGTTTTCTCCTGTCCTCAATGTCAAATTAGCTAATTTGATAAACTCATCTAAGGTAGAGTGCTTATGCAGAAGTCCTTCCTTCCAAGTTAAGTGTGGTTTATAAGAGGGACTTTATGGAGAATGCTGTGGTGGTGAAAAGTTCAAGTATATTGCTCTTCACTTCATACTCTACAACCTGTATTTAGAGTTATGCCTATTAATATGATTTAGCAGAGGTTTGGGCATAGGTTGGTTGTCAATGTAACAGTTTCATTATTTTTTTAGTTAAATAAATAACAAAGTAAGAAGAATACATGCTATCAGTAATACACAGTGAACACTACGAATTGCACAGCATTATTAATGACTAACGGCTTTATAGAGTCTCTGTTAGAAATGTATTACATTTAAACATGATTTGTTATTAATTAATTTAAAATGTTTACATTTATTTTTAAACTTTATCATTGATTAGATAAGTCAATCAGTCATTCACTAAGTATTGGGTACCACAGGGGAGACAATAGAACTATCAAAGAAATAACCTCATTGAGAAGTAAAGACTTCCACATATGGAATAAACTGGAAACAGCACAGTAAAGTGATAAATTCTGTGATTACCCATAAATAAGGCAATATACACTGAGTGGCTAGATTATTATGATCTCTGAACACATAATAATCTGGCCACTCAGTGTATATCCTATATAATAAAAGGCTAATATGCAAATTGTCCCCTCGACCAAGAGTTCAACCAGCAGATAGGCTGGCCAACCGCCCATGTCCCCTTCCCCTGGCCAGGCTGGCCAGATCCCACCCATGCACGAATTCATGCACTGGGCTTCTAATATAAATATACTGAGTGGCCAGATTATTATGCATTAAGAGATCACAATAATCTGGCCACTCCAGTGTATATATCAAACTCTTTGAGATGAGAACTTTTTAAAATAAAATAAAAATCTGCAAGAATACTTTGTGTTTGTAAAAATTTTCTTCATAAGCTATACTCCAGTTTATGTACCTTATAATCCTATCTTATTTCTTCCTGCCTAACAGAGATCCTTGTAGTATTTTTAGGGTCTCCTTTTAAACTATAGATATCATCTGGCCCATTAGATAAAGACAAGGCTAGGCAAGTCAGATTAGTTTATGAAATAGAACATTGAAAATTTTAAAAATTATCATACCTATCTCATTTTAGGTAAATTGCATGAAATTGTTAGAGCTCCCACATTTTAATCTATCCCTTTCCTCCTCACTCATTGCTGTCTTCCAAAATTAATAGTGACCCAAGAGAAATGAGTGTCTGGTGGGGCAGGTGGGGTCTGTACTAGGACAAGCAGCCTTAGAACCAAGCAGTACTGATGGGGAAGAGGAAGGAGGAGGGTGGAACAAAGCAAGCTTACAGAAGAACCTTAAATCTACCTGCAAAAGTCATACTTATGAAAGGAGTCAGGGTAGATTGTCTGTATATATGATATCATTGGTGGCATGGTTTTTAGGTAAAAAGAAAAGTGCTGAATAAAACACACTTGGAACAGAATCCATCAATGAGGTGAAATTTGGCTAATTGGTGGATATTTAAAATTATGTGACTTGTTTTTATCAGTTTACCAATAAATTTGATATTCAAAGATGTTTGTTGGTTAAAGCAACTCATATGAAATTAGAATAAGACTCAAAATAAATCTGAGAAACAATGACAAATTTTTATATGCTTAGTCTTTCTAAAAGAATGTCTCCTTGTGTATTAATAGGAATAATCTGTTTAACTCTAACACTTTTTTTTTCTTTCAAACATACAGAATTCCTTTCCTATGACTACATCACTTGCAGCTAATCCTCCCATGGCTTTCAATCCTTACTTTACTCATCCTGGGATGGGCCTGGTTCCTGCTGAACTTTTACCAAACACACCTCTTCTGTTTTCTGGAAACCCGGGTCTCACATTGTCAGGAGCTGCTGGTCCCAAACCGATGCGTTCAGATAAATTGGAGGTATTTGTGTAGAAATATATAAATACTATATGGTTTATATTAACCTTATGCATGAAACAACAGCCTAAGAGCCTTTATATTTTGAATGCCTTAAATGAGTGCACCTGGGTTTTTAGCTTATGGAGTATAACCTCAGAACAATGTTAAATGTTTTACTACTGCAATTATACCCTTTTGTGAAGTGAATTGATTCAGTTGTACAGTAGGTTAAAGCATGTCTTAGTGTACCTGACTACAAAGTGCATCTTTGCTATGCATCTTTGCAGAAAGTCTAGTGGGAATGCTGCTTCTACCCAAGCTCCAGCTTTATAGATTGGAATTGCTATGTTTGTTGATGAGTTTCTACTTGTTAGAATAATCAAACTGGACAAAAGAAAAGTGGTCTAGTCTATTTGCTAATGCAGAATGTAAATGAGTCTCATAGTATCTAAACCTTTTCTCCAATTTTTTAAAAGAATGATGCATTAGATATTAAATATCCCTTTTGCTAAGAAAAGAAAATGTAAAAAAATAAGAAACAGCTTTCTAATTTATTGAAGTCCTTCAAACATCTCTTAATTGCCATTCTTCATAAATTGAAATAAACAGCTAGTCAATTTCTTACAAAGTCAGCTTCATCGGCAGCTTCTTAAATGCCTGGCAATGTATTATAATGGAATTTGATTGTACACATAATGTAATTCAATCATGGGCCACAAGTCTGCTCATGGAAAAGCACATTGCTGTGTGATAAAGACTTATTTTGGGCCTTAACAAAATAAATCCCTTTTGCATATGTAGCTAATTACACTTTAGACTGTATTAAATGGAAATTTAAACAATGCTTTTAAGCCCTTTTATTTCAACATTAAAAAACCGACAGCTCTTCTTTGGAAAAAATGGAAATTTTTCCTAAGAATCAAAATGTTATCTATGTTTACATCTCAGAGTGAACATGGTTTTACATGATCCTTCAGCTTTTTAGATTTTTCCTAAATACCATAGATGGCCAAGTACCATAATGTATACTATTGCTCTTACATTCACTGGAAAAATAAATAAAACCTAACCGACTTTTAAGTCATCAGTGTGATATTTTTTTTCCTTAAGGTTTGCCGAGAATTTCAGCGTGGAAATTGTACACGTGGTGAAAACGATTGCCGCTATGCTCATCCTACTGATGTTTCTATGATTGAGTCAAGTGATAATACTGTGACCATCTGCATGGATTACATCAAAGGCCGATGCTCCCGGGAGAAATGCAAGTACTTTCATCCTCCCCCACACTTGCAAGCCAAACTCAAGGCAGCTCATCACCAGATGAACCACTCAGCTGCCACTGGGATGGTAAGAGCAGACCATAATTTATGCACTATTTTTTTTTGGGGGGGGGGAGGAGAAGGATAATTAATATATACCTCAGTGTGTCTATTGTCTTGTAACCATAACCTTGGATAGTCATGAGTGGACCCTAATACGAATAGCCAAGGTGATAAGCTGGAAAAGAGAGAACCTATGTGTTCTACTTCATTCACTAAAATTTTCTAAAGGTAACTATTTTAAAAGCTTTATTGATTATTATAACCTACTGTGCTTTTGTTCCCATTTTATAAGGAAAGAGAAAAATATATAAATTATTTTTTAAATATACTTCATTGATTTTTTAAAAATATATTTTATTGATTTTTTACAGAGAGGAAGGGAGAGGGACAGAAAGTTAGAAACATCAATGAGAGAGAAACGTTGATCAGCTGCCTTCTGCACACCCCCTACTGGGGATGTGCCCACAACCCAGGTACATGCCCTTGAGCGGAATCTAACCTGGGACCCTTCAGTCCACAGGCTGACGCTCTATCCACTGAGCCAAACTGGTTTCGGCTACTTTATTGATATTTCACAGAGAAGAAGAGAGGGACAGAGAGTTAGAAAGATCGATGAGAGAGAATCATCGAACAGCTGCCTCTTTCACATCCCCTACTGGGGATGTGCCTGCAACCAAGGTACATGCCCTTGACCGGAATCAAACCTGGAACCTTTCAGTCCACAGGCCAATGCTCTATCCACTGAGCCAAACTGGTTTTGGTGGAAATTATAATTTAAATAGTAAATTACTTTTGAATTATTTTTATATATTTTTAAATATATTTTATTGATTTTTCACAGAGAGGAAGAGAGTTGGATAGAGAGTTAGAAACATCGATGAGAGAGAATCATCAATCAGCTGCCTCTTGCACACCCCCTACTGGGGATGTGCCTGCAACCAAGGTACATGCCCCTGACCGGAATTGAATCTGGGACCCTTCAGTCTTCAGGCCGACACTCTATCCACTGAGCCAAACCGATGCCGGCTGAATGATTTTTTTAATAGCATGACTAACCTTAGCATATAAAAAAAGACAGCAAGTTGCTCCTCTGCCTATGAGCCACCTACATGGGCACTTTGTTAGTAATATCCTTAATGCCTTTCAACAACAGGAGACTTGAAAGATGGGATAATAAGTAAGCTTCTGTTTCCAAAAGTTATGGTTCTCTTTCCTTTTTGGAGGAATGGTTTTAAGGAAGCAGCCAGCGAAGGCTGGGAGGGGCATTTCTACATGGTTGTGAGAAGAGGCAACAAAAGCTGTCCTAGCAAGTCAGTTTTGGGGAAAAGTTGATTTTAGGAGCTGGGGGAAATATTTGCATACCATACTACAGTGTGATCGGTTGCTAAATAGGAATTATGATTATTTCTTTGTCACAGCTGTCAATTATTTTGATAAGCTCCTTGTTATTTCTCTTTTGGGTTGGGCCTTTCCTCGTGTAACGGGATGTAATAACCCAAGAAGGGGCAAAACCTTGAGGAACCTCATATTTTCAGTTTGGGGGGGAAAAATCATGTACAGGAACCTGAACCCCTTGACAGAGAACTTACCTTTAATAAAAGAAATATATTTATTTTCAAATCCCATATTTGTTAACAATGTTTTTCTCATAATGAGTTGAAATCTGTCTTGTTATAACTGGAACTCATACTTTTCTTTTTTTAATACAAAATACGTCAATACCTATTCCAGAGTGGTGACTCTGATGTATTTTTGTGTGTTTTTTTTCTCTAAACCAGATACCCCAAATTTCTCCCAACTCTTTTTGGTAGATTATGGCTTTAAGGACACAGCACCAATTTGGGACTTGCTCCACTTTCTCGGTATCCCTGTTCTCTCAGAACTGAACCCATTACTTGAAAGATTGATCTGGACAACATAATCTGTTAATGAATGTTAAGAAAACAAAAGACCTCACCACATGTTGTTTATCTTAAATTATTTTGAATGAGGGAATTTTAAGCTATGAAAATAGAAGGCATCCAGAATGTTCAATGCAAAATTAAGCCTTCAATTTTTGGATTATTTCTGTTGGTGTCATAGAGTTCAGAAACAGCATGGACCTATTATAAAAGAGAAGAATACAGCTGGCTCCATAAAAATAAAGTTTCTCATATGTGTGGGGTGCATAAAGAATGGCTTGCTTTTGCCTTTATTTACTTGTTCCACATTCAGGCTTGGAGCCTTCATATGTATGTGCTCATTCCTGATAATTTGGGTGTATTTGGTAAAAGGCACATAAGTCAGGCCCAAATTTCCATGTAGAAATTTAAATATTATATAGTTGGCCTTCAATTGACTGGTAGTTGTGAATGTTAATGTAATATTCCTTTCTGAGTAACAGGTCAGAGCAGAATGTTAGTGATAAGGTCAAATAGGCAAATATGAATTTGTCTGAAATAAGATTAAATAAAGGAGGCTTTCCATGAAGAAGTTTAAGCTTTCTGTATGTTTAAGGATTCAGAGTAGAAATGCTTAGTGAAAAGAGATGTTTTTACTCTGTTCATGTCCATGTGCCTAGCTCAGGTTGACTTCATTGAAAGAAGTTTGTATGTATTTAAAAGAAAAAGACTTGAGAGGTTGATGTTTAGTTTTTCCCAGAGAAAATACTGATTCCTCTAAGCTAGAGGAAGGAACCTTGTTTCTGCTGAGGGTGATTTGGATATTTACAACATCATTCATGGGCCATATAAAGTTATCAACTTAAAAATTAGCTTGGTCAAAACCAATTTGGCTCGTGGATAGAGCGTTGGCCTGCGGACTGAAAGGTCCCATGTTCAATTCCGGTCAAGGGCCTGTACCTTGGTTGCCGGCACATCCCCAGTAGGGGGTGTGCAAGAGGCAGCTGATGTATGATTCTCATCGATGTTTCTAACTCTCTGTCCCTGTCTCTTCCTCTCTGTAAAAAATCAATAAAATATATTTTTTAAAATATCTAAAAAAAATTAGCCTGCTACATTTCGTCAAACATTTATATAATTAACTTATCCCTAATGCCTTGGCAGGGCCAGACCAAATGATTTTATACTTTCTTTATGGTCCTTAGGCTGGATGTTTGTTCCCCACCCCTGCTTTAGGCTTTCTTTATTCACAGGAGTAAGTAGGTCATGGCATAACCGTTTTAGTTTGTGGAAGGTTAGTTACTCTGCACAAGTATCCTTGTTGACTTGAGAATTTGAATCACACCTAATTGTTGTTTCTGGGGCATGTTTTTTAAGTAATGTCCAATTTGCTAAGAAAAAAATGTAATGGCAAACGTCTCCAATGAATCTGATCCAGCAACAAGTTTGAGTATTATAAGCATAGTGGAATTTTGAAAGAATTATAGACATCTAAAGAGAATTTTAAAATGCTAATACGTTTAGAATTAAACTTTACAAGGACTGTACAAAGCAAATGGCACATCCTGAAATGTAAGGCAAGCCTCTACAAATGATAATTGATTTTGCTAACTATGTATATGGTACCTGGGTGAGGTGGGTGATGGGGAAGTAATAATGTGCCTTTTTTTCTTACATTTTAGTTGGGAGATAAACAGTACTAGAATATGGATCTGAAGACCTGGTATAAATCGGATTTGTTTTATTGGGCTACAGTAGCAGACTCCAACTACTGATAATGTTTTATTACCTATATACCATTTATCTCCTAAATCCTTATTAGAATTTTAACTGGGGAAAAAATGTCTTTCCTGCTATACCCATTGCCTCTGCTAGTCTCATTTTAATAGATTAGTAGGTGAGCATGTTCATTTTAAATGCTTATTTTCTATTAACAGTTTTCTGTCATATCCTGTCCAAATGATGAGACCCTTTTTTGATTTTTACAGAGAGGAAAGGAGAGGGATAGAGAGTTAGAAACATCGATGATAGAGAGAGACATGGACCAGCTGCCTCCTGCACACCTCCCACTGGGGATGTGCCCACAACCAAGGTACATGCCCTTGACCGGAATTGAACTCGGGACCCTTCAGTCCGCAGGCCGACACTCTATCCACTGAGCCAAACCAGTTTCAGCGAGACCCTTTTTTATTTGCCAAAATTAGTGAAGTTGAAAAGCTTCTTTTTCTCCTTGTGTGTATTTTTCTGTTCTGAATTAAGTTGTCATTAAGTGAACTGCTTCATCTTTGCAGCTGCTTACCTTCCTCGATGGATATCCTTGTAGAGGGCTCCCAGACCACACCATATCTAACTGCTGCTTGCTTGGTTTGAGTACATGTTTTTACTTTCTTTGGTACTATTTATTAATCTATCCCTCCCTCACAGGCCCTACAGCCTGGTGCATTTCAACTGATACCAAAGAGACCGGCACTTGAAAAGACTAATGGTGCCGTCCCGTTCTTTAACCCCAGTGTTTTCCACTGCCAACAGGCTCTGACTAACCTGCAGCTCCCACAGCCAGCCTTCATCCCTCCAGGTGAGAACTGGGCTATGAATACTTTGAGTGTAATGATGTGACTATATGCAATGCACACCAGCTACCCAATGACTTTTATGCCAGGGTGATCAACAGGTGTTTTGACTGGAAATAAAACAGGACAGTTATGTTTGATCTGCTAGTACAGTGGTCGGCAAACAGTGGCTCTTGAGCCACATGCGGCTCTTTGGCCCCTTTAGTGTGGCTCTTCTATCAAATACCACAGTTAGTCTATTTTGAAGAAGTGGCGTTAGAAGAAGTTTAAGTTTAAAAAATTTGGCTCTCAAATTTCAATCGTTGTACTGTTGATATTTGGCTCTGTTGACTAATGAGTTTGCCGCTACTAAGCTAGTATATATTTAAAAAATTGTTTTTGTGATTTCTGAAAATTAATGATTTAAAATCAATCTAGGAAACATTGTCCATATTTTTCTTTTTAACATTTCTTAATTTTTGTTTCCTATCATTGATTCACTTGGTTAGGTCTCAAACTAATTTTTTGACTCTTAGGTATAACATTCAAAGACATTGGTCTGCCCTCAAAAATATCTTTCCCATTTTCAGCATTGCAAAAAATGAAGCCCATATATCTTTGATATACTGAAGATACTTATAATAAAACTATCTTTAAATTTATAGCATAGTATGATGTACAGGTAATATATAGTATAATATAACAGATAGATCTAGCCTCTATTTTTTATTGTTTAAAGTATTACAAATAGTAATACATGTACCTCTTTTCCCACAATTGACCTTCCCCCAGCCTCTCCTACCCCCCATCTCATGCCAGTTAATATTTAAAAATATAGCAGTTTTCCTGACATATTTTCCGGATACTTTGCAGCACATTTTATCTTTACATTCAACTACATTTAATAGCTTAACAATTTTGTTCCAAATTGAATAAAAAATTTAAGCCAGAATTTTGTATGAAAATACTTTTCTTCTAGTGGATCAGTACTTTAAGAATTACCATATAGTCTCTTAGGAATAAATTGAAAATATGAATCACGCAGAGTATAGTAGATTTTCTTGCCAGAGTTATAAATTCCTACTTTAAAATTATTATTAAATGAAAATGATATGATTTTAAAATTAATTTAAAAGACTTGTTAATTGTATAAATATACTAAATGGGTAGAATTATATAATTGGACTTGAAAATAATCTCTTGCTTAATCAATTAATCAGTAATACATTTTGGAAGACTCTATTAAAAAGTTTTGTCTAGTTACTAACAATAATTTTCATGGTATCATTTAAAAACCACACAATTTTTTTTTACTTTTTGCTGGATTTGGATTATTTAAAATCTAGCTTTATAAGCCAAAATATCTGAAGAACACTGTCCCTCTTAAGTAATAAATTAAAAACCTTTCAGGCTGAGCCCCCTTTTGATAAAAAACCTATTTGCCATATGTTCATAGTCAAGTCCTCAGTTACAAGGTGGAGTAGGTAGTGATAATAGATAAATACTCTAAATAGATTTATTGCACTAGGTTCCAGATCTTGGTGCATATTTTGAAAACAATTTATGTGATAAATAAAATTTTCCCTTTCATGATTAAAGTCACTTAGGATGTATTTGTCCAAAATAAATACAGGATGTAATTTAAGTGAGATAATCTTCTTAAAGAAAATTTTATATTCAAGTTTATACCTAAGCATCCAAGAATTACTTTGATTACCTGGGTTTGTGATTTTAAAACTAAGCTGTAATTATAAGCATAGGAGATTACTTGGGTTTGCATGTGATAATAAATTAATATTGCAAATATGATCTTTTTAGTTAAAATTATTTCTATCAGTAAAGCTTAAATAATGAAATATCTCTTTTCTTTACTTTTCACGCTTTTTCTGCACGGTGTACAGGGCAAATACTGTGCATGGCACCTGCTTCAAGTATTGGTAGGTTTTGTACAAAAATTCTCAATTATTCTAATCTGGAAAAAAAAAGTGACTTTCTGTTGTGACTATGAAAGAACATATGACTGAATGATATGGTTGGACATTATCTAAGTATTTAAGGTTTCATATAGTGCTATTTCACATTTTTATTGAATCACATTAGTCCTACACTCCCAAGTCCTAGTTTGTTGGCAAATACTGATCCTGCCATTGCTCTATTTTCACCCTATTTTGGAACATTTCCTTATCTAGCCAGAATGGGCAGTTCTGTTCTTAGCTTTGTATCTGTTACTAGAACACTATAAAATATTTAAAATGTATAATTTTTAAAGTTCAAAATTTTCCTCCAAAAAAGTTATCCATAAGATCTAAATTATTCAATACTCAGATGTTTAGAGAGAGTGAGTTTAGCAAAGCTAGAACATTTTTTAATGTCCTGTGTCAGAAAATATCTGACAAAATATTGTCTTCACAGCAAATGTTACAGCTACATGGCTAGCAGCTATCACGTCTCTTTCAGGGTATTTTCTCTTTGCCTTTTCTAGTTTCTACCTCATTTAAAAAGCTTTTGGGGCGCTTTTCTCATTTCTAGCTCATTTTGGAAAGCAAACCAAGAACTTAAAGGGTGAATGGCAAGCATTCATATATAATGACTTACATCTAGATTGATTGAATTTCAGATTTTCTGAAAGTTTACAGAGAAAATTAATGGCCTGGAGAGAGGAAAATCAACATATCTATTGCCATAGAAACCATAGTTGTACCCCAAATGGTGATTAACAGAAACTGTAGTTTTTCCTTGTTCCTACCTCTAGTTATCTATGGCTTAGAGACATTCCTTACTGTACAACATGTCAATTCTAAAAACACTCCTCCCACCTTGGAAACACAGCAACTCTATAGGAAGCAGCACTACTGATGCATGCAGTTTGCATTCCCACATGGAGTTCTTAAGTGAAAGGACAGGGAAGCAGAGTGGCAAAATGTGAAGACACATTTCACAAACTTGCAGAAGTCAGATCGTCTAGTCATATGCATATAGGGCTCCTGTTATTATCAATGGGAATTTTTTTTTTTTAATTTTTACAGAGGACAGCCAATCCCTCAATAACAGAGGCCGCACTTCCATAGCCAGTGAATTTTATTGTACTACTATGTGGTTGCTGTTTTGACTTTTTTTTTTTTAATCTCAATAAGCCCCTTAATTCTTTTTGGGCTTTGCATCTACTCTGTTTGACCAACAAGCTAGAAATGAGAAAAGCACCCCAAAAGCTTTTTAAATGAGGTAGAAACTAGAAAAGGCAAAGAGAAAGCACCCTGAAAGAGAAGTTATAGCTGCTAGCCATGTAGCTGTAACAATTTCCATGAAGACAACATTTTGTCAGATATTTTCTTTAAAGTATCCCATGTGTTTGATAAATAGCTTAAGTTTCAAAAGGTTTGCCAGAGATGTATTTAAAAACCTGAATATGTAGGCCATTGTATTTTTTTATTTCTTTATTGATTAAGGTATTACATATGTGTCTTTATTCCCCCATTACCCCACACCTTCCATTCATGTTCCCATCCCCCTGTTGTCTGTGTCCATTGATTAGGCTTATATGCATGCATATAAGTCCTTTGGTTGATCTCTCCCCCTTACCTGCCACTGTCCCCTACCATTGTATTATTCATCTCTGCTCCCCTACCATATACCCACCAACTGAACTACCATATTTTTGCATGTAGATCAGGTAAGTATATATATAACTGTTCCTTTGAACCTACAAATCTAGTGAAAGCACTCATATCTATAAATTAATGAACCCAGGCACCAATTCACAGTTCCCTACTCCCATTTTGAATGTGCAACCCGGTCACTTGTTTATTTAACTAGCTATTAATACAGATAGTCTTGGTAAAATAAGATTTTACTTTATGCAGCCAATTTAACCCTCTGGAAATATGGCCTTTTAATTCAAATAAAATGTGATTCTACTAAAAAACTAACTAAATGTTGAAATAATTTTTTCTCAATGCAAACTATAATTGTTTATCCCTTTTCTCTTTTTAAATGTTTCCCCATTCTGTGCTGTGTTGCTTTGCACTGACTGTGATTGCATGTTGCACCCTGGTGTATCCATGATGATGATGTCACATGGCTTGTTGCTGTGATCCCTACCATGCTCCATTTCATCGTTTATGTCATGGTTGCATAAATGGTTCACCCTCCCGTGTGTTGCTTTCATGGTTTCCTACGGAAAGTGCCCATGATGCACGGTGCTACACCTACCACTGTGTCTGCAGCAACAACACCTGCCACCAGTGTTCCCTTCGCTGCAACAGCTACTGGCAATCAGGTTTGGCAATTTACTTCACCTAGATAACTACGGTGTATTGGTAAGACACTGTATATGCTTTTTGAGTTGGTGAGAGACATTGTTGCATATTCTTGTGTTTCCCAAGTAGTCGTTACATTTACAGTTTTTATTTTTGTGGTTCTTATAGAGCAGTGGTTCTCATTCTGTGTGCTACGGCACAGTGATGTGCTATAAGAATTTTTAAAACATGCAGTACCTGACTACTTAGTTAGGGGCACTGACCTCTTTTCCCTCAGATCGTCAAATGAAAAAATGACAACAGCCAACACAACAATGTGTGAATGAGTTAAAATTATATATATAGTCAAATTAGCAAGAAATATATTTTTGTTGTGCCACAGAAGTTTCATAATTAGTTTATGAGTGCCATGAGATGAATAAGGTTGAAAGTCCCTGTCCTAGAGGTGTGCATCTGCTTTGCTACTGATCCTGAGATGAATCAGCAGAGTTATCTCATTTTTAATAAGTTACAAGATCTCTCTCTTTATATGTTATGTAGTATAATGTGCAATTGTTGCTACTACACCAATCCTTAAATGTATATACTAAATATTTCTTAAACACTTTTTCATTGTAAAAGAAGTGGATTTGTTTTATTTTACTACTATTTTTGGTTATTGTGTTTAAATGCTTACTAAATACAATCATCACCTTGGCCTTCATCTCTGCTGGAAAGAAAGCAAGTTAATACATTTATTTCTAAGGCACAGATATCCCTATACTTATCTAACAATTATGTCAGAGATTTCTCCTCATACTGACATTAAATGTGCTTGTGTTGTTTTGATTTTCATTTGCTTTAGGTATTTACAAGCCGAGTCACAAGGAAAATTATAAATTTGGGGGGAGTCTTGAAACTGTAAGGAGACACAAACAATAGTTACTGTGCAATGTTATGGCCATTTTGTCTTGTTAAAGTGGTAATCATGCTTCATGACTGCAAGTTCCACTGCCGTTTCAATTATAAGTATGATAACCAGATAGTACACAAAGAATTAATTAATTGGGAAAATAAATCACATTCTAATCTGTGCTTTGCAAAATTAATTATTAGTAGATATCATTAATATTGTCTAAATTTTTCTTTGAAATGATTATGGTATTGATTACCTTGTCCAAGCAGTGAACAAAATAAGTGGAATCCTCTCAAGAAACTATTTTAATCTAAAATCTCTTTTACTATAGATACCAGGATTATCAACAGATGAACTGAACAATAGCATGTTTGTTTCACAGATGTAAAAGTTATCACTATAACAGTAAGTTTCTTTGACAATTAATATAAATAATATAGGTTATATTTTTATTTTCACATTGCATTTGCTAAAGTTCTGGTAAATACTTTCACTAATAGACATTTCTTTTATAACTTAGAGCTTGAGTTAAAGCATTCAAAATTTTCAAAATTGAAATGTATATAGCAAATGTGCAATTTTTATATAAAAATGTATATAGCAAATGTGCAATTTTTATATAAAAATACAATGGTATTGTATTTTTCCAAATGAGCTTACAAATTCTGAAATACTTTTCTACCTTTTTTGTATAATTTGTTAGACAAAGACAGAGCTCACCTTTCTGTTTTAATTCTTTTCAATTTTTCTAGCTTCTTTTAAAAATAAATTTAAGCAAAATAATTTTGTCACAAATTGACTGAGATAATTATCTTAAAGACAGTATGAGGGGATTAGAGATCAACCAAAGAACTTGTATGCATGCATATGAGCATAACGAATGGACACAGACAGTAGGGGGTGAGGGCACTGCTAGGGCATGGGGGCGGCTGGGGAGAGGTCAATGGGGGAAAAAGGAGACTTATGTAATACTTTAAACAATAAAGATTTTTAAAAAGACAGTAAGTAATATGTATCTCCTAAGTTATTTTAGAAAATAGTGTTTTTACAGTCTGCTATTTTGCATTGCTTCCCATGTAAGCTTACCAGAATTTCCACAGCTGTTTTAAATTTTGAGTGACATAATTTAGTAATTTAATCAGTATTTCCATTCAAATCATGGCTTTTTTTGTATGTAATTCTTATTGCTGCTATTGGATTTTTAACCCCTTAACATTTGATGCCCTCTGTCTGGTTCAGAGTTTATAATAACACACGCTTAATTTGAGCAATTGTTCACTTGGTACAAGTGACTTTAAAAGCCATTTAAGACTCTTAGGTATCTTAATTAGTTAATTATATGCACTTATTAAACAAGTATATCTATTCTGAATTGCATGCATTAGTCATTGAAAGCTTGAAGTTCTCAAAACCAGAGTGTGTCATTTGGTTGAAAAAGGCAACAGTCCTATTCTCTTGATGGGCTGGTTCCCCAGAACCTGGCTAGCATTTCTTTCCTGCTGAGAATACACATGCCCAGAGCCTGTAGCTGACTGTACATTAGATAAATAGGTCCCTTCAGTCATAAGAAATGTTTTTTAAAGATACCTTTGAGTATATGGAATAATTAAAATAGCTGTGAATTGTAATAGTTTTCAGTGGTATCATTTGGGATAGTGGCAACTTGGGAATAGCACCAAATATGAGACTGTGGATTTTGTGAACACTTCCCTGATTCTCATAGGTCGCTTCACATAAAGGTAAACAAAAGTTGTCAAATTAACTTTCTAACAGAACATGTTTGGAAATACTGATTCTTTTTTGTTTGATTCCATTATAAAATGTAGAGGGATTTGGCAGACCATAATCACGTTAATATGCAACAGATGTTGAAAATTTCTTCAAAGTTTAAAAGATGTAATTTTATAAAATACTATATAGTAGCTAGATTTCACATTTATTCTCCAATACATTCAGATAAAATGTTTAAAGTTCATTTAATATTTGCATATTTTGAATGATTGCAATCAAACGTTTTTTTCCAAGTTCAGTTGACAATCCATATTACTTTCTATTAGTTTCAGGTGTAAGCATGATTTTTTCAATATGCTTGTTGAAGGAAGTGGATGGATGGATGGATGGATGGATGGATGGATGCTCATCAAAGGCTTGGCATGGTGTAGATAATGCATAAAACAATTGAGAGCATCTCTGTTAACTTAGGGCAACTCTGTGCATTAGCACTCAATAATAATCATACACTTTAGAGATGAGTCTTTAGAGACCATCTCCAAGAGCTCCATTTTTACAGATGTTGAATATAAAATTCAGAGTGAGAAATATCTTGGTATAGTTCACATAAAGAACTGGAACAAAAACAAAGTATCCCAATTCCTGCTTCAATAACCTTTAAATATTTCTCACTCTCTTTTTCTATTTCAGTTGAAATTCTGAACAACAGAGTTACGGATTATCAGAATCTCTCCATGAGAACCTCCGTAAGGCCTTTCTATATGTAGTATTGTTTGTCCTCTACTACCAACACAACAATAGGCATCATGCAGTCAATATATTAAACAAACAAAATACCAACCAACAAATTCAAGTTAAAAAGAAAGCATTAAACAATCAATGGAGATGTCAAAACAAAACATGAATAGAAAACTAACTACCATTTATCTTATTTGAATTATTAGGTAGAACACTACCATAACATTTTGTAATTTGTCACACTGTTCTTTGTGATTTTCTAATAACTATTATGCTGAGTAAATCTTCACAGTGGATCTTTGGCTTACTGTGCATTCTTGGTGGGTAATGTTCGCCTGTTTTGAAGTGCTGTTACCTTACTGTTTTGTTTACACAGTAGCTTATTGGGTTGATTTAAAATGTAAAAATTATATCAAAATACCATTTTCTTCATTAATGTATTGTACTGTATTGTGATGTACTGTGTTGTGTTAGATTTTTACATACTACAGAGTTTTGCTGTAATATGTGTGGTCTTTTGTTTCAACTAAAATGTTACTAATGGGAAACAGAAATATGTGTGCTTAAAAAATATGACAGGTTAATGTTAATATGCTTTCACTGTTTAGAATATTTCTGTAGGTTTCTCGGGGCAGACATTTTAAAAGCCTTACTTTTGAGTGTTCACAAAACTTGTTCATAATCATGCTTGTGAATAATTTATACCTGCAGATCTGACCTTGTATAATATAATCACATTAGTACATTATTTGTGAGAGAGGCATAATTACCTGCAACAAACAAACAAACAGGGAACTGCTTTAAAAATTAACTCGTAATTTCACTCTTTAAATAGCATATAAAACTGGAATTTACCTTAAAATGAATATTTCAACATTTATACTGAAAAATATGTAAAGCACCCATTACATATCTTATGGCTCAAGGATCCTATTTCCTAGGTTGATTGTCTAAAACAGTCACTTGTCATCTTCAGCTGAAAAATTGTTACTTGGAGACATAAAGATATGCTAATTACAGATAATAAATTAAACAGAGATAGGGGCACATGGAGATACTTTTTACACATTGGAGAAAACCCTATAAAAACCATAAGATTGCTATCTTTTACACAAGAGCCACTTCTGAATGCAAATGTCTTATGCTCTTCAAAATAAGTAAGGTACAATCTAGCAAAAGTCTGTCAGGGTGAAAGAGAATTAGTTCCAAGTGAGGCCTTTCCTCCCCAAATGGGCAATCTTTTCTATTAATCACAGTTCGAACCTGAGTTTAGGATTAGAGAAATGGCGGGGTGGGAAGGAGGATAGAAAGACATTTAAAATTATTCTTTGATCTATTTAAAAGTTCTAGTAAGGATGTCCACAGTTGGTTTTAGCTCCAATTTAGCTGAGTTTTCAGTTTTATTAAACACTTCAGTGAAGTATTATAGCAAGCGCCTGTAATATATTTTAACTGTTGCTTTCCCCAATCTTTATCAACCAGAGTCTCTCTCATCAAAACCAATGTTGACTTGGATTCGTTTGTTTTTATATGTATTTGAAAATTATAACAGAGAAGGTTTTAAGACCCTTTGGTTGAGACAGAATGGCTGAACTTCACAGACCTGAGTTGAATTCACATTACTAATTTTTATGAAATAAATTTATAAGCAAGTAAAATAGTAATTAAGTCCTGCATATGATATGCCTCATCCACCTTACTTATTAAAGTTACTATTATTATACAGTAATAACAGTAGTGGAACCATATGATATTTTACATCAACTTTGATTAAATGTTTTCTAGTTCATGAAAATGACAAAGAGAAAATCTGATTTAGGATACCTTAAACAGACTAATAGTGTTTGAATCACAGGTCAAAGGAGTTGGTAAAACCTTTTAACAGAACATGAAATTAAAGCCCAAGGCATGTGACTTGCCCAAGGTTACCTACCCAGTTGGGCACAGTCCGACACAAATATCTGCAGGCTCCCAGTTGTTCCTCTGTTTCACATCATTTGTACTTCAGGACATTTGAGACTCCATCCCAAAGCTAATCAAATTGGCTCAGAATAAAAAAAGAGCAAAATTAGCTCTTTAATAGTTGATATCCTGTTGATCTTAATTACCAATATAAATCATGATCATCAGTGATATCTAAATGGTATTGCTTGTATGGAGCCATTGCCATTTATTCATAGTATTGCCTGGAGTTAAAGAATAAGAGGTGTCCTGACTTTTACCTATTGATTCTTTGAACCACTTAATTTCTACTTCCTCAAATCTTAACATTGATAGAGAAGAAAATAGAGTACACCTTTGTGAAATTACATGTGTTTGGAAGTGAGTTTTGTTAAACCTGTGTCAGTGCCTCCCCAGATGTGATCACAGGACATCAGGAAGGATGCACCTAAGCTAGTCTGGATGTATTCCTAAAGGGGAGAGAGATGTTTCAGGGTAAAGTCAACTTTTTTGTGTAGTGTGATATTTTTGATGCAACATGCTGTCTCATTTAACTTTTTAAACTTTTGATGAAGATGTGCATAGACAGCAAACCTAGAGTACAGCTGTTTTTATGTTGCTTTAAGCACTGGACAACATTAATAAAGACTTATTTTTTAGTAAGAAGTTTGGTGAGGAATATTCAGGGTAGTTGAATTTTGGGTGCCACAATATTTTATATTGTTGGCATTTTAAAAATTGCTTTATAAATGAATTTAAAGAAAGAGAAGTCAAAGTACTAAAGTTTTGATGCAGATGCGAAAGAATTTTGACAAGATGCTATTTTTAAGATGACATGTTTTAAATGAGTTGTGCAATGAGTTGCGCAACTTATCTTTATTCAAGAAAAGAAGAAAGATTAGTCATTAGACTATAAATTTCAGATAAAAAGAGAAGTCACAAAACTAATCAGTGACTCTAAACAGAAATTTACTGAAT